AAAGCTATACAATGGGCTAATCTGTGCTCTGCCCGCCACGGGTATCGAAACCCGGAGTCTAGCGTTGTAAGTCCGCAGACATACGCTGTGCCACTGGGGGGGGGGGATTACCAAATTAACTTAGATGTTAAAAAATTTAACTGATTAGTATGTAGAACACTCAGAATTTTAAGATTTATTTATGAAAAACAAATACTCAGAAAATCATTCACAAATAAAATGAATACAACATACAACTCACTTCTTACATATTTTAAGAGAGTATCTTCAGAAATCTGAAAAGATGCTTGAGGATTTATCATTATTTAACATACCTATGAAATTATTGGTTTTAACTGACTCAAGCACTTCTAATTATTTGTTTTGCTTAAGGAAAATTATTTCACTTCTTCAACTCGTTGTCAGAGACAGGGCTTAAAACAACGGTCGATATTCGACAAATTATTGATTACGTCAGTAAAAGGAAATTGTAAGTTTGTGATTGGCTAGGTTTCCACGTGGAAATTCTGATCCATATATATTCTAATAAAATCAATAATTGAAATGTTTGTTGGCACTAAACTAAATTATTGCTAAACTTCTCCATAAAAATATTAAAACTCAAAAGCATGAAAAATTCGAATAACTTTAGCCAAGAAGGTAGAGCGTAAATAAAGGTGATCAATAGACAGGCAACGTGTGATGGTAAATTGTGAACTAAATACACTGCCACGTTGATGGCTTCTGATGTTAAAAATCATTAAATATTTTTCTTTTTAGTTTCACTTGAGACATTCAACATGAGCAATGGTGCTTGATTGCATAAAATATAATTACATAATATCGTACTTTCAGTCAGACTTGTGGAAACAGTATTTTACATACCGAATAAGGAAATATGCAGGATTATAGCTCATTTATCCCTTTTTATGGTGTTTTTCGAAAATGTTTACTTTTATCTATAATAAAATAGTCTATGTTGTGAAAATTTAAAACCTTCACCACTTGTGCTTCTTATCAATCTAAGCTAGTTAGATGTTACGGCCCGGCATGGCCAGGTGGATAAGGCGCTCGACTCGCAATCAGAGGGTCGCGGGTTCCAATCCCAGTCTCACCAAACATGCTCGCCCTTTCAGCCGTGGGGGCGTTATAATGTGACGGTCAATTCCACTATTCTTTGGTAAAATAGTAGCCCAAGAGTTTGCGGTGGGTGGTGATGACTAACTGCCTTTCCTCTAGTCTTGCACTGCTAAATTAGGGACGGCTAGCGCAGATAGCCCTCGTGTAGCTTTGCGCGAAATTAAACACAACAAACTTAGATGTTATGATAGTATGTAGGTCAAAATAAAATAAATTATTCCAAATATTTATGTTTAATAATTTGCTCGAGTTTTATTTTCTGAGAGCATTAACCCTATGTGTAAGATAGTTACTGAGTTGTTAGGTACTGTTTTAATTAGGGGTGTGAATCTCGTCATGGTAGTCGATACGTTACGTATCTAGATATTGTTTGTTTATATTTGTTTGAGGTTAGGCACAAAACTACACAATGAGTTATCTGTTTGTATTATGTTGTATTATGCACCAAGTGAAGTTACCTCTATATTTATAAACAAAAGTAGTTAAAGGACTTATAAAACTACTGAATACACCTATTTCTTGCTGCTTATCAACTTCTTTAGTTAACTAACAAAGTAAAAGCTTATTTGCCAAACAAAGCAAATTCTTCATTTCAGCACAAATTGAAAGCGTGAATCAAATATCTCACCTAAACTTGGAATAATTACTTCTTCAAACTGACTTAGGTACATTAGGAAAAGCTAAGACAATTCAGACAAATTATCTTTAGGATGTTGTTCAACCTTAACAGAGTACTGATTACATTAAGTACTTGCTGGAGTACTCGTCCGTTGTAACAAAGGATGGGAAATTGTGCTTCTAATTTGTTTCTTAATATAATTTACATTAAAAGTGCAATAAAAATGAATAAAGGTACCAATACAGAAAAGAAAGACGTGCTGTTTTCAAGAATTCTAACAATAGTGGTTACATACTTTATTCTACTGCTAAGAGATATACAACATTGGTAGTTTTTCCGAAATTATATGAGGGGGTACAGCCCCCCGACCTTCCTTGTGTCATCCTGTATCACTGTGTCAAGTTTGGTGCTGATTGATCAATGAATGTGGAAACGTATAAGGAACAGACACACACACATATTTACGTTTATTTATATAGATACACACACATTGACGTTTATATATAGAAATCTTCTGTTTCAGTAACTAATATTACCGTAGTTATAATTTCATAATTGCAATAACTTAGAATTATGAGATTTTGACATAAGTATTTTATTGCTCAACTATTAGCCAATACTTCCACTCAAGCCCAAGTCTCAAATTGCACGCAATCCTATCTCTGTACGATGTTTGGTTTGTTTCTTTTACCGCAAAGGTACATAAAATCCGGATTTTAATGTTGTAACTCTACTGCTGACCTACCGAGGGACGTATCGTATGAGAAAAGAATTCCTTGGTAATTCGAAAAACGTTCATTTAACTATATATATATTTAAAAATATTACAAAAAAGTCACAAGTGACTTTTGTTTAATTCTATTGTTTGGGATTTGACATATTTTAACTTATTCTGACTTAAGTTCATGTCTATAAAAGGTGGAATGTTTCAATATTTGCCTCTTAATTCAACATTTTGTACTTGAAAGGGGGGCGATAAGTATTGACACATCTTTTAGATATTTTATAGGATAACATGACAGAAATCTCGGCGATAATGTCTGCTTAAACTTGTCCTATTTATCTTTCTTCAACAGACTTTGTCTCGTGAAAGAAAGCAACAAGTAATACAATGTAAGTCCAGCTAATGACGATACATTTACCCTGTCGGACCCTTCAGGAATTACCAAGATATTACGTCTTATATTCCTAGTTATTTATCAAACTGTTAGCAATTACATTACTAACCTTCTTAATCCAAACTGACTTATGTGGTTGCTAAATGTATCCTTTCCAAGATTCCTTATAGCCTAAAAAAAGAGAGTATTTTTTTTCTTTGCTTTTGGATGTCAATAAATCTTACTTTTTTACTTTGGATGTCATTGAATCTTATTTTTACTTTTGGATATCAGTAAATCTTACTTTTTACTTTTGGGTGTCAGTAAATCTTATTTTTACTTTTGGATATCAGTAAATCTTACTTTTACTTTTGGATGTCAATAAATCTTACTTTTTTACTTTTGGATGTCATTGAATCTTACTTTTTACTTTTGAGTGTCAGTAAATCTTACCTTTTACTTTTGGATATCAGTAAATCTTACTTTTTACTTTTGGGTGTCAGTAAATCTTATTTTTTACTTTTGGATATCAGTAAATCTTACTTTTACTTTTGGATATCAGTAAATCTTACTTTTTACTTTTTGATGTCAGTAAATCTTACTTTTTACTTTTGGGTGTCAATAAATCTTACCTTTTACTTTTGGATATCAGTAAAAGTAAAAAGTAAGATTTGGGTATAAAATACATCTTACTTATATGAATCCTCTTTCATAAAGAAAAACACTTTCTCTACTAATTAACTCGCTCAGACAGAATACAGTTAGGATAAGATTAATGTACCAAAATTATGTTATGTCATGACTCTCTAAACTAGGTGGACGTTTATGACCCTCTATACTATACTAGGTTGACGTTTATGACCCTCTATACTATACTAGGTTGACGTTTATGACCCTCTATACTATACTAGGTTGACGTTTATGGCCCTCTATACTAGGTGGACGTTTATGACTCTCTATACCAGGTGGACGTTTATGACCCTCTATAAGAGGTGGACGTTTATGACCCTCTATATTAGGTGGACGTTTGTGACCCTCTATACTAGGTGGACGTTTATGACCCTCTATACCAGGTGGACGTTTATGACCCTCTATAAGAGGTGGACGTTTATGACCCTCTATATTAGGTTGACGTTTATGACCCTCTATACCAGGTGGACGTTTATGACCCTCTGTACTAGGTAGACGTTTATGACTCTCTATACCAGGTGGACGTTTGTGACCCTCTATACTAGGTGGACGTTTATGACCCTCTATACTATACTAGGTTGACGTTTATGACCCTCTATACTAGGTTTACGTTTATGACACTCTATACCAGGTGGACGTTTATGACCCTCATTACTAAGTGGACGTTTATGACCCTCTATACTATACTAGGTTGACGTTTATGACCCTCTATACTATACTAGGTTGACGTTTATGGCCCTCTATACTAGGTGGACGTTTATGACTCTCTATACCAGGTGGACGTTTATGACCCTCTATAAGAGGTGGATGTTTATGACCCTCTATATTAGGTGGACGTTTGTGACCCTCTTTACTAGGTGGACGTTTATGACCCTCTATACTAGGTGGACGTTTATGACCCTCTATACCAGGTGGACGTTTATGACCCTCTATACTAGGTG